TTGTATGTGCTTGGTGAGTGTGGTTCTTCTGCCCATACTGGGTCAGCGAGGATCTTTTGTAGTGCTGGGTTCCTTTTAGCATATTCTTTGAGGCTTTCCTTGTCTGGGAAGACTCTCACTTCTCCATCAATTTTGATTGATAATTTGATCAGATAGAGTATTCTTGGGTTTGCCTTATTTTCCTGCAATTTTCGGAATATGCTGTTCCACTGTCTCCTCTGCTTCATAGTGTGTGCTGACAAGTCTGAGCATATTCTTATCTGCTTGCCTTTATATGTGGTTGCCTGTTTTTCTCTAACTGCTCTCATAATTTTCTCCTTTTCCTCATAGTTGAATAGTTTAACAACTATATGTCTTGGTGACTTCTGGGGATTCAGTCTATCTGGCATTCTTTCAGCCTCCTGAATAGTTGCCTGGTTTTCGTTCATTAAGTTAGGAAAGTTTTCCTCCAAGCATTCCATCACTATTTTGGATGTTGGTTTCCTTGATGTGGATTCCTCCTGCAAGCCGATAATTCTGATGTTGTTCCTTCTCATAGCATCAGGCATAGCTCTGAGGTTTTCCTCACCTTCTCTGATGGACTTGTTAGACTTTTTCTCACGTTTATTAATTTCTGCTTGTGAATCCTCTACGTCACTGGTGCCTCCTCCATTCTCTGGGCGAAGTCTGTGAGTTTGTTATTAGTCTTTGTTATCTCGCCCTTTAACTCCTGTATTTCCCTTTGGTGCATAGCCTTTATTTCCTCTATCATTTCATCCTTTTTCTATAATGCTTCTCTCATCTCCTGTATGGCTCCAAGCAGCATTCTGAAGATTTCTTTCTGTGGGAGGTCAACCTCTGCCTTTTCTATGACTGTTGTTAGGTCCAGGTGGTCCTCTGGCATTGGATTTTGTTTCTCTTATCTTGTTGAAACTGTGGAAGCAGCTTGCTGTTTTTTGTTCGATTTGAGGGCACTTGGTGCCATTTTCCCGGGTGTCTCAGAGCCCTGAGCTCTCTTTGGGAGGTTACTGTTTCAGCTAGCTGCCTTTAGCCAACTGCCTTGAGGGTTTGTGTTTCACCTTTGTCTTGATGGGGATTCCCTCTCACCTTCTCCTGTGGTTTGTGCTCCACCCACCTTCAGGTCTCCTTAGGGGCTGTTTGCAGCTGTGAAAACTGTGGTATTATAGAAAGTATTGGCCCCAGTGCAGGGGAGCGTATTTAGGGATGGGTTGGGGATTGGGTGCTTTGTTTCTGACTAGGGGCACTTCCCTCAAGTAGGCAGGTGGGAGGGGGGCCGCAACTGGTGTGCACATGCACCGCTTGGAGCCCAAAGGGTGGGGACAGAGTGAGCAGGGAGAAGGGAGAATGTAGTGAGAAATCCCCAAAGGCTTGGGTTCCTATGCCGCAGCTGCAGAAAGTTCTGCCAGACTTGGGTCTCTGCCTGTCCGGCCTGAAGCGGTGTGGCAGGATGGGAATCTCTGAGTGCGTGTGTGTGTGTGTCCCCACGCACGCATGGGCGTATGTGTGTATATGGGGGGAGGCCAAGGAAGGGGACTGGCTGGAAGATCTGCAAGGAGTGCAGTGACGGGGCGGGCTCCTCTGGCCTGGGACCTCTGAGCGAGCCCAGAGGCAGGACCTCAGTCTCTGCCTTCCGCCTGACTGCGGCACCCAAAGCGTGCCTTCAGAGGGACGGGGGGAGGGTCTGGCCTGCTGGAACACGAGGGGTGCCCGGGTGGGGCCCGAGTCTGCAGGGGGTGGGGGGGGGTTTGCTGGTTGGAGCACACCCACAGGCCCCGGGTTCCCTGATGTGCGGTGGGGGGTTACTGACTGGCGGTTTTGCGTGGAGCGCCGAGGTGGGCGCAGCCTCCGCTGTGCACCTGGCTGCCTTGTGGTGCAAGTCCCGGCAGAGCAGGTACATGGAGCGCTGCACCAGAGACCACGGGTGTCTACGCAGAGCTCTGGCTATGGGTGGGAGTCCACCTCTGGGTCCTAGAGATGCTCTGAGTGATCTTGGGAATTGAACAGACAAATTTGGTACCCCTACTCCACCCCCAACTCTCCCCACTCACAGATCTCCTTGGCATTCCTGGTGTGAGCTACCTATCTGGCGGCCATCTTCCAGGGATCCTCCTGAATCTTGTTCTTAATTGCTGTAGCTTTCACAAGTTTTAACTTTCTGGTATCACCCTTCTTTTATTACTTGGCTTTTAATGATTGTCTCATATCAACATTTACCATTGATAATCATAGAAGTATAGAATAAAGCTCATCACTGTTGAGGTCAATTCTAACTCATAGTGACCCTATACGACAAGGTAGAATTACTCTATAGGGGTTTCCAAAACTATGATCCTTATAGAAGAAGATGGAACATCTTTCTCCCACAGAGCCACTGGGAGTTGGAAACCCCGAGCTTTCAATGAGCAGGTTAGCAGTTGAGCACTTAACCACTGCATCACCAGAGAATCCCGTTTTGGAAGCTCATGGGGCATAAAGAAAGCATGGGAGGATATACTCATCTGTGCAAATGCCAGCGGGAAGGCAGAGGATAGTCAATGGTTGAGTGAAGTCAAGGGAACTACTAATAAAATCAAGATCTTCTCCTTCTAGGAGGAAGCGGTGGTTGAGGAGTATTCAACTCCATGTGTTCCCAGAGAAGATCTGAGATTCCTGCATTTCTTTCCAGTTCCCAGAGGAGGGAAGAGAGATGATTCGTGAGTCTCCTATTTTTAAAAAGTACTGTTTTGTTGTCTTTTTCAGAACTCTGGGAAGACTTAGTGTGGTAGAAGTATAGTAGAGACACAGTGAGGGAGGTAGATGAAGCAGTGAGCAACTCAGCCTTTGTGAGTTTCCCAGACTAGCTCTGTACGGGAGTAGGAAGCCTCATCTTCCTCCTAGCTCTCCCTTGGGCAGGAGCACAGCTCTGGGACATCTTTTTCATTGGTCTCTTTCCCCATTTTCCTCTTCTCATTTCCCTTCCACCAAAGCAGTGAGATGGAGATTATATGGGTTCTGAGGGCTCAATGGAAAACAAATGTCTAGAATGGAATGATGGAACATATGTACAGATACATTGGATACAACTAATGTATGGATTGTAATGAGCGTTGTAAGAGCCCCCAACAAAATGATTATTTAAAAAAAGAGAGAAAGAAAGGAGATTATATGAGGGATTATATCCCAAGAATGTGCTCTGTTAGTCCTCTGATTCTTCAGCTGTGAGATGGAAGGGGTACACTTGAATCTGTGGCCCGTTCTGTATCCTTCTCCCTCCACCCCATCCACTGAGCTGATGACCACAGACACCCACAGTTTGAGAGAGGAATTAGGCAGCCACAAGCACCCTCCTGTGTAGAATAGTTACACTCTGGTTTTGCAACAGGAAACATTTCCTGTTGCAACTCCCTGTTTTTCTCGGCATTGTGCCAGAGGTAGAGATGAAAGAAAGGGGACCCTCTTTATTCCCTTGCCACCTCAGAAAATGGCACTGCCTGGCAACATATTATTTAGTAGCAAAATATATTTTAATGGAAAAATCATCTTTAATAACTGAATAAAAATGTGCACTTTTCCAATAGGCAGTAGAATATGTACATGTTTGTGAAGATGGAGCAGCATCTATTTTGATATATAGATTTTAATATAGAAAATACAGGTAGATTTAAAAATGGAAACGTGTAAAATATGTCACAAAGAATAACAAAATATAACACGAAATTTAAAAAAACCAAGTAAATGCAAACAACAAATTTACTAAATGGAACATGATCCAGCACCAAGTTGGATTTTCTTTCTGAGGATCCTGGATGCCCAGGCTTTCACAGGAAGAGACGATCCTGCTTTGGGGAGAGCCCGTGGTGATCAGTGGTTAAAATCCCGTCCTCCTTTTCCTACAAAACAAACAGAATCAAGAGACAAGAATGAACTGGAGGTCAAAGCTCTTTGGACTTGGTGAACCTGAAGTTTTCATATAGCATCCCCAGTCTATGGTTTTACCTCCAGCATTTGTGAGAGACACATTTTCTGAAGATGCACATGGAGATCAGAGGACCTGATCTCCTTTTTCTTCTTAACATTTGAACTAGCTGGAAACAAGACAAGACTGGTCTTATGCATTGGTAGAGAAGGCAACACGTTTAAGGATTTAATGGGGGTCTCAGGCTTTTCTCCACTAGTTGTCATGGCACTATCTGTCAACAAACATCTCTATTGGGACCTGTACTGAGTGGGGTGCTGAGCAAACATTCTTTAAGGCACAATCACACGAGAGATTAAGAAATTTAAGCAAATAAAAACTGGTAAAGCTTTATTGCTCTGACTTCTCAGACAAGCTTTCCATTTTCCCACATGAGAGAATCCTTCTCCATCTTCCTTCCTACAAGGAGCTCTGGTGGCATAGGGGGCTTTGAGTTGGGCTGCTTATTGTAAGGTTAGTGCTTTGAACCCACCAGCTATTCCAAGGGAGAAAGATGAGGCTGTCTACTTTGTAAAGATGAACAGTCTCAGAAACCCAGAGATATACGTCTACTCTCTACTGTAGGGTGGCTGAGTTGGGATTGACTCAGTAACAGTTAGTTTGTTTTGGGGGATTGGCCCTCCCTTGCTGCTACCGTGTCCACCCCATTTACTCAATGTTTTGACAAAATTGACTCGAAAGTCAATGGTAGCTGATTGATCCATGGGTGGGCCCTTGAATCACTCTGGACCAATCAGAGTCCTCCTTCTGGATTCCCAACCTGGAATACATTCTCTCTCTAGGTACGTTAGATAGTGAAATACAGGAGCTGACAGCAGATCTGTCCTGCCACATGAACTGAAGAGAGGGAGAAAGCCACTGTGCAGCAGAGAGAAGAGGTGAAAAGGAGGTAGAGAGGCTTTCAAGAACTAGCTACTCAGTTTTCACGTTCAATGCAAGGCCCACTCTGGTAACCACTTCCTTTCTTTGCTTAAGCTAGTCAGAATTGCAATTATTATGAGACTCTTAGAAGAAACAACTAAATTTCACATTCTTTGTTGGCAGTTTCCTTTTCAGGAATATATATCTCAGATTAAGCTGCCTTAATTTACCCCCCAAGATTTGCATTTCAAAAATCTAGATTCTATTCCTTCTATTAACAGACTTAAAAAGCAAGCAAACAAAAAATGAATCACTGTCCTTCCCTTGGTCAAAGAAGAGTATTTTGAGATTGGAGAACTATGAAAACTCTGGATTTCTTTTATCTGTAAAATAAGTGGTTGAGATATAAAATACAAAATTATAAGAATACTATAATAAATATTGCCTATTCCTTAAGAGTGGGTTAGGCCTGGGCAGCTCACTCACCAGGGATTCAAACCCACCAGCCTGTTCGTGGGAGAGAGGTGAGGCTGTCTACGCCCATACAGGTTTGTGGTCTTAGAAACCCTGTATCAGGTCACAATGAGTTGGAATTAATTCGATTGCAGGTTTTTTAACAAACTTTGAGTCACTGCTATTCTTATGTATTTCTTCTTTCTTTCCTTATTCCTTATTAAAAGATCATCTTATTGGGGGATGCTTTTTTAAACCCACTTTTTATTGTGATGTGGGTGAAACTGTACAGAGTACATTGGTTTTCCACTCAACAATTCATACATATTTTGTTTTGGGATATTGATTGCAATCTCCATGTAATATCACCCTTCGCACTTCCTCTCTCTGTTTACAACTTCCATTCGTCTTCTTTTTCTATCCCTTCCTACCTTCTGAACTTTATTTCTGGGCATGTGCTGCCCTTTTGCATTCTAATGGTTGATTGTTGGAAGGCATGCATACCTCCCTCATGTTTCCGTCATCTTTGAGCTCTGTCACTTGGCTGAAAGTTGAGTCATGGTGGTGCTGTTAGTTCCAGGCAGAGTGTTTATGTGTTAGGGTGCTAACCCCACAGTCAACAGTTCAATATCACCAATTGCTCCGACAGAGAAAGAGGAGGTTTCCTGTTCCTGTAAAGAGTTAGTCTTGGAAACCCACAGGGGCCGTCCTACCCTGCTCTATACGGGCACGATGAGTCAGAATCGACTTGATGGCAGTGATTGTCCTCATTTGTCTTTCCCTTCACTCCAATCAATGAATATTTATCTACTTTCCAGTTAGTGGTCCCCTTTTCTTTCTTTTTAAAAACAGGAATGAGTCATTTATAGTTTCACTCTCATAGGTTCCAAATCTATTCCCTCTGACAAATGTTTCCTATCTGCAGTGATGGCAGATGCTTTGGATAAGCACAGATTCACTGGCACAACACTGATTTTGTTTAAATGAAGTTTTAAAAAATTTTAATAGCTTCTTGCTTTTGTAAGCTGACTGACATTCTAATCAAATGAAATCTCTTTCTTTGGAAATGAATATGGTAATAACCATTTGTTTTTTCATAATTCCTAGAAGATAGGTCAAGGTCTATCTAAGTGATGTATGTGATATGAAGACTTACTCTAAAAGTCTGAAAAGGGACCTGGAAATAGACCAGCAATGCAGCATTTGTGAGGGCTCTGTTTTAACAGACATATTTGAACCCTGGCATGCCAAAGTACGTCTAACACTTTCTGAGGCATACCAAAGGTTCATCTTTTAACGACTTTTTTTTTTATGGCTTTGGCAACAATCCTCTCTCAATTATGACATTTAGCTGGTCAGTAATGAGAAATGGACAGAACCTATTTTCCTTACTTAAAAAATTTCTTATCAATTTAAATACTATTTTATATAGCAAATAATTTTCAACATACCTGGAACAGTCGGGTCCTGTCCAATCTGAGAGACAATTGCATCGGTTGGGTCTGACACACTTCCCACCATTTAAGCAGGGAGACTGGCAGACAGCTGGAAGGAAAAAAAAAGCATGGATTATGTAATCAATATTTAGCAATGTTGAAGCAAAGGAACAAATAGTATGTGAGGATGCCGTAGGATTGGGTGGTGTTTCCTTCTCTTGAACATAGGGTAGGCATATGTTGGCCAAACAATCATAGTCGGAGGAGGAGTCAAGATGGCAACCAGGCAGAATCACCTGCCCAGTGTTCCTGTTGTTAGATCAGAAAATTAAGAGAAATGGGAGTATGAGTGCAGATCTCACCAAGGTGTGCTGAACTTGAGGGCAACCTAACCACATGGAGCAAGTCAGAGAGGTCTACAGGGTTGGCCCCAATCAGAGCCAAACTGACCCCCAACCCTAGAAATATGTGCTACAGAGGACAACACTAAACCTGCAGGTTGTGAAGAGGGGCCAGCCTGCCACATCCACACAGAAGCAAGCCAAGAAGGAAGAGAGAGAGCGAGGGACTAGACCCCAAACCCTGAGGATGACATCTCTACACGGAGCTGCTGCTAAGGCACAGAGAGGACTGGGGGGCCATCAACAGCTCGAGACATGATGTTCCTTCACTGGAGCATACTGTGGCAGAGGACAATTCTGGGGACATACGGTGGGGAGTGAGTCTGGTCTGACCCCCCCACCCCCCAGTGGGGTGAACCAAGAAGGGAAGATAACGGACCAGCAACAGGAGCAAAGCCACAAAACCCCTGAGGAGTCCTCAAAATAGACTTCAGGATAGGAGGGGCAGTTCCCCGAACCCCCCAGGACCAGTGGGGAGATCATCATCAAGGTCAGTGGGCAGAACTAGAATTATGTGTGTTTTTTCATTTATTTTTCTCTCTTGATTCAATCTTTTGTTTTGTCTGTATTATTGTTGTGCTGCTTACCTATGTAAGGTAGCAAGCCTGCAGAAAAAACAATGGGACCAAAGGTTCTGGAGGGACTTGGGCGGGGAGGAGGAGGCAGGAGGTGGGGATGAGTGAAGAGCAAACAACGCCACAGACAGGGTAACAACTAGGGAATTATAAGCAACACTGAGGAGGACGTAGAGATCCTGGGGGTGTTGGGGCAACAGCAATCTAGCTGAGGAATTTCTAAGAGGCAGAAGCAGGGCGAGTGTGACGGTGGGGCAGGAGGAAGGTAAAAGGAAACAGAGGAAAGATCTAGGAAGCAAAGCGATGGATAGAGATATAAACATAGGTGTGCACTTATGTAAATATATTAATACATATTTATATGGCAATAATTTGAGGAAGTTGATGGAATTTGGCCCTCTGCTCAAGCCCTCTCTCTCAACATAAGAACACTTTGTTCTAACAACCTGGCTATCAAAAGCTATAGCATCTGGGGTCTTTAAACAAGCAGCCATCTAGCAGAGAAGCAACGAGTCCACACAGAAGAAGCACACCAGCCTGTGTGATCATGAGGTGTCAACAGGATCAGGTAATAGGCACCAGAAGACCACAAACAAACAAAACACATATTGTTGAGAATGAGGGGGGTTGGAGCAGAGTCCCAACCCCATCTGTAGACAATAGGACATCCCCTCACACAAGGGTCACAAGAAAGGGATGAGTCAACCAGGGTTCAGTATAGCACCATTGAAACTATATTCTTCTGGTTCCTTGAGGCTACCTCACCCTCCACTATCATGACCCCAGTCCTGCCTTTCAGTTCTGGCTAGACTGGAGCATGTACACTGGTGCAGATAATAGCTCGCGACACTCAGAATCCATTTCATCGCGACACTCAGAATCCATTTCAGAGAATCGATACCCGGAGGGGAAGGGGAAGGTGGGCGGAGAAAGGAAGGGGGAACTCATCACAATGATCAATAATCCCCCCCACCCAAGGGAGATGAATAACAGAAATACGGGTGAAAGGAGACAGTTATCAAGGGGTCACGAGGGTGCAGCTGGGGGAAGGGAGGGACAAAAGAGGAGTTGATTCTAAGGGCTCAAATAGAAAGTAAATGTTTAGAAAATGCTGATGGCAACATATGTGTAAATATGCTTGATAAAATTGATGTATAGAATGTTATTATAAGAGCTGTAAGAGCCCCCAATAAAACAAAACAATGACATAGTCCTGAATGGCTCCCTTTGGGCTTTAGTAGAGTGACTGCACATTTTATTCGGCTTGTGAGTTCCACTCCCACTTCCGTGGTTTCACTCTGAAGCATGCCCTGGCTTTGAAGTGAAATGACATGCTAGCCCAGCCTCAGTGCTCAAGAGAAACAGTGGGGTGAGCTACCCTGTTCTGTTTTTGCCTTCTTTCTACCCCGTGGGGGAAGTAGTATAAGTATCCTTTACAGGATGCATGCTGGAATGTTAGAGTTTATACTACATAATTATAACAAATCTTATTCTTTAGCAGTTATCTAAACATTCAGGGCATTAAAAAGGCAAAAACTAGTCATTGTAATCTTTTCTTTTTACTGCGCCCCCCCCACCCCCTATCAACTTCAGAATTATATTTCTTTTGAGTGTTGTTGCAGGTGATGTGAATAAGGCTGACAATGCAGTCCATTTAGAGGCTCTTCTCTGGCACATGAACCAGACAAGTCTCTCTGAGGTCGCTCAGCATTGACAGCACTATTCAAGGGACCATCTCCAGTGGTTCTGCAAACGCGGGACTCCTTGAATGCCGCCACCACCACATGTGATCTGAGCTAAACTCATCAGAGTGTAACAAACGGACGCAAACCTGGAGAGGAAGCCTACCTGCATGACAGCGGGACCCCGTCCAGCCTGGTGGGCAATCACACTGATAAGGGGCCACACATCGGCCTCCGTTCAGGCAGGGAAGAATGCATATCGCTAGAAAGGAGAGCAAAAGAATCCAGTCAAAACCTCCATGCTCAGGTAAGCTCAAGTGCTCCTAAATCATTTTGCCAGAGGGATACCTCACTTGACCCACGAGATAAGCTTCCCTACCTGTTGTGCTTATTAATCAGCATCTCTGGACAACCACCATGAAGAAAGTATGTTTGGCTCCTTAGTCAGAGGTAATGACATGATTGCCAAATGCACTCCTTCAGGGAAGGCACACTCACCCTAATGGGTGTCTGCTAAGTGCTAGGCTCAGAGCCAGAACGGACTAGATGGTAGTGACTTTTTGGTTTAAGTGCTCTGCGTTGCGCCTTACAAAACAGGCAGGATGTTCTCCATTTATTATCATTTCAAATTTCCATTATCCATGGCATACAATGGTCTAAATGGGTTGAGCTGCCAAAGACTTTCCCCATCAAGCTAGTAGTGGGGGACCACTCAGCCTTGGTTTCCATGGAGCCAAGACCTGGTGGGGCTGGAAGCAGGTCTTCTTTCACAGCAATGATTCCTCCTACTGAGGCGTGAGCTTGTCTACTGTCTCAGGAATCCCAAGGGGCAAGCCAGAGGTTTGTTAGGAAAGCAGATTCTCAGGCCCGCCACCGACCCACAGACTCAGAACCTGTGGTTCAACCACACCCCTCAGGTGATCTGCATGCCGGAGAGCTGGAGAAACCCTGGTCTAACGCACGAGGGCAGGCCCCGGCTCAGTCAACTGAGCCAGGTCTGCAATACCTCCTGGTCAACACTCCCCGAGGCTCTGGACTCAGGTCAGAGCTGGGAGAAGCTCCCTGGGGAGGGGTGATTAGGAGGGAAATCATTTCTCTTCTTCATCACCAACCAGGAATACTTGCTCTGGTGAGTTGTCAGAAGTCTAAATGTCTGTTCAGTCCACGTGGTCCTTTCTACATCAGGTGAAACCGTCCGTCACAGTTTAAAAGGTTTCAAATGATCTTCTACAATGTCTGACCTTTAGAAAGAACTAGTGGCCACCACATTAGTAAGTTGGCTCGTCCTAAGGGTTTATAGATGCCTCTCGCATCAAAGTCGGATGTATGAAACCATTCTACATTCTATCCATGAGAGAGAGAGAGAGGGAGGAGCCCTGGTGGCATAATGGCTCTGTGTTGGGCTGCTGACTGCAAGGCTCGCAGTTGGAAACCACCAGATGCTGCCCGGGAGAAAGCGAAGGCATTCTACTTCTGTAAAGGTGACCGTCTCAACCCCCACCCCCACCTCCCAACCCCCGGGGACGTTATACCCTTTCTTCTAGGGCCACTATGGGTCAGAACTGACGCGATGCCCGCGAGGTTGGAGACTGAAAGTCTGATTTGAAAAGACAGCATGTGAAATTTGTGGACAGACTCACGCTCTTCACAGAGGCGTCCCATCCAGCCATCTGGGCAGGAGCAGGCATTTGGGCGTTGGCAGACACCTCCATTCTGACATGGGAATCGACAGACAGCTGGAAAGGGAAGAGGGGGGGTGTTAAAATCTTGGGAACTTTGGAAGGCGGTTGTCAGAAAACAGCATTGCTCCTTGACATTCGGTGTACATTTCGCTCCTTGATTCAAGCTTTCAGGAACAGAAGCTAAGCTGAATCTCAAGGAGGCATCTCGGCCAATGGAGAAGTGCGGCAACTTATTGGCTCTTATCAAGGCACTGGTTTTTGATAAGGCCTGAAAGGACTCGAGCACAAGTAGCTATCCATAGCTTCTAACACACCATGTCCCCTCGTGACTTCATACTGTTCTCTCCTCCTGACTACCAATCTCTTTCTCTTCCCATTGCCCCATCAACTTGTCCTGGGAAACTTTCTTTCGTTCTTCAACACGTATTCAGAACATCTTCTCTAGGAAACTTTCCCTGACGCATCCCCACAACTTCCAAAAGGGAATGGAATATGGACTTCCTGTTACCATATTCCTTAACATGTTGCAGTCCACACTCTTCTATGGCATGTGTACACATGTTCCTTTCTGTTTTCTCAGGTCCCTAGGTGATCCAAATGGTTCATGCCCTTGGCAAATCACAGGGAGGTGGGAGGTTTGACTTGACCCAGAGGCCCCCTGGAAGAAAGGTGGGGGTCAGTCGTACACACATGGGGTCACCATGACTTAGAGTTGACTCGAAATCAACTGTTTTTCTTTTTCTGGTTTATCTGTCTGCTGCCAGAGATGGTGATTCTTCTACTCCTCTTCTCTCTTCCCCAGGGGGATAATGCTATTTAACATTTTTGGAATAGAGATTTGGAAAAATTTGTTCTGGTTTTCAGCTCCACTTGGGAGGCCTGGTGGCCTTTTCCATAACCCCAAGGGCAGATCCAGAGACTTAGAACCCCCTGTCTGGCCCAGAGGCTTGCCCAGGGCCCTCAGAGTTGGGGCTATCCTTTGGCAGGCAGTGTAAAGCTATGGGAGAGGCAGATGCCTTCCGGTGGGTCAGTTTCTAGAAATGGGGCACTCCTAAGGATGGAATGTGAATCTCCAGTTAGATTGGAAATCATTTCATGGAGTTAACAGGCCAATTTGCTTTCATATGAAAGTTCCCTGTCTTAACTAATTGGAAGGGAATCTTGTGTGACCAATTTCCTAAGAAGCTTCAGTATTACTGTCACATAAGTGAGCCACCTTGTAGCATTCTCTCCAACACCTCCTCGCTGGGAGTCTCATCTCTGGCTTGGCCCGTGGTGAATAGGAATCGGCTGGGCTCTGAATGCTCTCTCTTTGCTACTCAGGGATTCCATCACTTAGTCTTTCTCTATTTAACATGTTCAAACTCCCCTTTCATTTCCTCTTCACCCAGTAGAGGCAGCTCCAAAGGACGTTGGATACTGGAAACAGTACCCTGGCTGGGGGTTGGAGGGTGGCAGCCAGGGTATTGGTTTCAAAGGTGTTGCTCAGAGTGCCAGCTTTTGCTGGTTTCAGGAACAGAGAGATGGTGGAGGGAAACTTGGGCGAGTTTTAACTCTTCCAAGACATCTTTGGTGCTGTTAGTGATCTCTCAGTATCCCCTATCTTAAAAAAAAAACACACCAAAAAAACCCCTTCAAATTCCTTTTCAATGAACTCAAAATAACACAAACCAACTAATGGGCCACCTGGCCTATAAAAGACACCCAACTAAGACCTCTTTCTCTCCAGACACACATGGAGTTCTAGAAAGTGCAGTTTGCACTTGTCATTTCTCTGCCTTCTCCTCTGTTCAACCCATAGCAGCCCGGCTTCTGCTTTCAACACACCCTACAGTTGCTCGAGTCTGTGTTGGTGGGGTAGCTGCTGTTAAGTCCAATGGGGTCCAGCTAAATTCCTTTAAGTTGCAGTAAAAAAAAAAAAAACCTGTCATGTATCCCCTTACCCCTGCAAATAGGAGGTGATGTCCAAGTTCCATTTTCTAGGCAGACGCTCCGCAGGGAACCTTCCAACATATATCCACTGTAACATGCGTAGGTGATCATGTCTCCGTACTGATAATGCACACCTCGAGCAATCGCATTTTCTACGTGAGCTGGTGGGCTGCAAGAGATTTCTACAGGAAAGAAAAGATAAAATATGCAAAGATAGATTTCCCCCTCCTGCATACTGTTGGGTAAGTTATTTTTTCAATCATTGTGAAGTGGAATTTCTTAATATGGTTCCTCTATCCATATGTCTGTCATTCCCACCAAATGATTGTGCGGGGCCATGCAAACAGGGGGTGGGTAACGGTAGTAGAGGGGATTGGTTAGTTTTAGTTGCCACTCCCCTGACTACAAGGATAAGCCTTCTCAGAAGCAAGAATAGAGAATTCCGGAGCTATCTAGGAAGAAGTGCCAGCAGTAGAGTGCTCAAGAGCTCTGTCTAAAATGGCAGAGGTCAAGACTAGAGGCACCAGAGGCCACGGGACAGGGCACTGGAGCCAGGCTAAGACTAAAGGAGGCAAGGAAACCATAAAATAGACAAGAGCATCAGTGAGAGCATGAGACTATGAGGCAGAGCAGCAGGCTGGCTTCTTGGTCCACAGAGGCCGAGGCCAAGAGACCATGTGACTGACAGGCCTTGGACTATCAAGAGACTGGGCTGTTGGCTGAGTTAAGTTGTTGCTGTGAACCAGTGACTGTATCCTTGATTTGTTCGGATCCTGCTTTGGGGTACCCTGCTCACTTCCTTAATGACCCCCCTTTGTTGTCTGTGCGTTCGATGTGGCCACTGCAATGGAGCACGGAATCCAGCAGAAAAGCAGAGTGTCATGGGAGGAACCATTGGTGTCAGAACAGGTAAAGAAGGATGGAGGATGGTGGCGCATCTGACTGTGGGTCTCCAAGACTGTAGCTCTGTCTGGAAGTAAAACATTTCATCCTTCTCTTGAGGAGCGGCCGGTGGTTGTGAATGGCTGGCCTTGTGGTTAGCAGCCAGATTCATAATCCACCATGCCACGAAGGCTAGTTTCCATACAGGTCTTCCTGTTACAACTAGGGGGAAGGGTGTTACATAAGCATTTGAGACCCAAGTCCCAGTGAATGGTAAAGCACACAGTTAGCTGGTGTAAAACCACAATTCTAATGCGACAGTAGGCTGCTAGTTGAAGAATCAAGGACTGGGTTGTTGATTTCTTCTATTAAGGATAGTGCGCATGTACTAATTCCTTTACTCTTCCAAATAAACCCACACCATTGATATTATTGGTGTTATTAACAAGTAAGAGCCCTGCAGCTCAAGGGATTTGAACACTAGCACAAGGTTAGGGTTAAAAAGTTTGAGGGTGGACTTCAAACCCGTGTCTTCTTGGATTCCAGAAAATGCCCTTGGCCTTCCCATGCACATTTTGTATCTCCTGAGTTGAAGTGCAGGGTTCTGAAGGTGGAAACTGTTATAAGCATGTTATATTTTAATACCTTGGAGCCCAGGGCTTTTGCATCTGATTAGACTTAATGATTATTTGTTAATTGATTGCTGGAGCTGAGGTAGCTTGGACTACAAGAGTCTGGAGGGTAGGGTTTAGGGTGGGGCCAAGGAGCTGCTCTAAGTGGAGGTAGAAGGGGTGTGTTATGAGATGCTTTCTCAAGGAGACAGAAGATGCCAACAGGTTGTATGCTATTCATCAACATGGCCCATTGACAAAATCTCAGGTCTCACTTCCAGACCAACTATCAGACACCAGGAGTGCAGCACCCAGCAACCTCTGTTTAACCAGCCCTCCGGGAGTTGTGATGCAGGCTGAAGACCAAGAACCACTGGTTAGTTTGAAGAATAAGAAAGAAAAACATCTACTGAAAATTATATATCTTTCTCACTCTTAGAAAAGCACATCATGAAAATCTGTTTCATGACACCTGGTCAGTTAAGTTATAGCCCAGAGCTAAAAACATTTCTCTTGTACTGAAGTATATTTTGGTTGGAACTCAAGAATCTTTCTTGTTGTAGTTTCTGAGTTCTAAAAATTGACAATGAAGAACTGATAACCATGAGAGGAGAGAGATCTAAATATCCACATTTAAGTTACTGCCTTTAAAGTACTAGTATACCACCCGCTGACTTACTCTCACACTTGGCATCTGTCTGTGTCCATGTCTCATCGGGGTTGCAGGTAATGATGCCTTGGCCTTGGAGCTGGAAGCCTTTCCTGCACTTGATTGACACATTCTGATCAACATAAAACTCCTTTTCAGACAGCAGAGCGTTCTCCGGGATTACGAAAGGGACAGGGCATAGATTTGCTGTTTAAAAAGGAAAAGAAATGCTTGCTGTAAAAAGAGAGAGAGACAGAGAGAGAGACATAGCCCTCCTAAGAGTGAGGCTGTCATTGATAATATGTGGTGTAAGAATGTAGACCTTCAAATATCAAATGCGTACTGTTTTTGAACTCATATGGAGTCATTTGAAAGGATAAAATCAGATATGATCTGAAAGCACCACGCTATTCTTGCTCTAATGTATGATTTTAAAATTCTGAGATGACAAATTAAATAGTGGTCTAAAGTTAGGGTCCAGACAACATTTAGAACAGAAGATAAAAACAGAGATGATATTAGGATTGCTTACTGCAAGTGTGCTCTCTAGTCCCTCCTTCTGAAGGCACAGCCTTTAGCTTCATGGTAACACAGAAGCCACCACGGAAGCCACCGTCATGTGACAAACTGACGGATTAGTGGAGGGTTTCCTGACGTCGCTATAACGAATTATCTTTACTCCCTACATTTATGTGTCCTTTATTATGATAATATTGCCTAGGAATATATTCCCTTTTCTCATTTCCCTCCCTCAATAGAAATCATTTTACGTTATGTGAAGTTGTTGGTTTTTTCATCAAGTTGCATCTATTTTTTCCCTTCAGCACTTTGGACTTGTAATGATACAAGAACTTCGATAAAAGCTTTTTCTGGGCCAATCTCACTACCAGTGGAGGTTTGCTC